AACTTACTTTGTTGAAGAAAGCAATACCATTGAACATGAGGTGTTCCTCTACAGCTTTCCAGATGAAATGGACTAGCTTGTTTAGAAAGTTTTTTTCTCGAGTACGAACAGCTTTGGAGAGACAATTCAAGCAGGGTAGTTGGATACCACGTGCTTCTTCTTCTAATCGTGAAAGCTATCTGCCAAATGGAAATGAGCAAACTATAGCTGGTCGCGCGAACGATCTTTTTAGTTTTATGAAGTGGTTGAGTTGCTTTCTGTTTTTCTCCTGTTATCCTTCTGCACCCTATAGGAGAAAAATTATGGCGATGGATCTATTTCTAGTAATGCTTAATGTTTGGTCAGTTTTTCCTTCAAAAGAAAAGTCTAATGAAACTCTTCTCCTTCCCTATAATGAAGGAATTACTTTACCTGATTCAGTTCTTTTGTTAGTTGGATCAATAATTGATAGTTGGGATAGTCTGAGAGAAAGTTCTTTCCGTATATTGCTTCACTTTCCTACTCCACTTCCTGGCATTTCTAGTGAACATATGGTGGGAGAAGTAATCACATGGGCGAAAAAGTTAGTTTGCAGCTCCCGTGTCCGAGAAAGTGATGCTGGAGCATTAACATTAAGGCTCGTATTCAGAAAGTATGTTTTGGATTTAGGCTGGATCGTCAGAGCTTCAGGTGATGTTGTTTGCTTAGATTCTGTGCATAAATTACCAAATGTAGGTGAGGAGATATGCAGATCAAACCATCCGGTGGCAGAGTATTTGAAATCCTTAATTGATTGGTTGAATATCTCTGTAACTGAGGGAGAGAGGAATCTCGCTGAAGCCTGCAAAAACAGCTTTGTTCATGGCGTGTTGCTCGCTTTGCGCTATACTTTTGAAGAGTTGGATTGGAGTTCAGATATCGTGCTCTCCAGTCTCTCTGAGATGAGAAGTCTACTGGAAAAGCTTTTGGAGCTTGTGATGCGAATAACTTCCCTGGCACTCTGCGTTGTTTCAGCAGATGCCTGGTACCTTCCAGAGGACATGGACGACATGGACGATGATGATGCCTTTCTGTTGGATGTTCCAGATGAGGCTGATGCATCCACGTCGTTGTCTGAACTGGAAGATAGCAAGGAAAAAACTACCGTAAATTCAAGAACATCAGAACAGATTGTGATGGTTGGCTGTTGGCTTGCCATGAAAGAGGTACTTTACCTTTTGATTGTCTCCAATTCATTCATTTGATTGTCTCCCTTATCTCTCTCTACTGGCCATTTGCAGGTTAGTCTTCTTTTGGGAACAATCACAAGGAAAGTGCCTTTGCCTGCTGCTGCTTCTGATTCAGTTGAATCTGATCCAAATGCTTCCATTATATTAAAGCACGATGAAGTACTCGATTTGAGACAACTTAAAGTGATAGGAGACCACTTTTTGGAAGTTCTTTTGAAAATGAAACACAATGGTGCGATCGATAAGACAAGGGCCGGATTTACTGCTCTTTGCAACCGTTTACTTTGTTCAAATGACCAAAGGTACGGGTTTTTTTTCATAGTTTTTGCATGAGTTGAAGCTTTTCTCATTCTATATTTTCGTTCTTCTGCTATGCTAGAGCATGCATGCATTTGCTTGATTGAATAACACACTTAAATTTTGTATGCTGTTATGAATATCATCAAATCCTATAAAAGATCATGGAAATTTTTGCAAACGTTTATGAGAGGACATTAAACCTTTCTCCTTTCAAAGAAATATAAATTCTCTAACTTATCCCATCTTTCTAGACTTTGTAAGTTAACAGAATCCTGGATGGATCAGCTAATGGAAAGAATGACTGCAAATGGTCAGACAGTCGACGATTTATTGAGGAGAAGCGCTGGTATTCCAGCTGCTTTTATTGCTTTATTTCTAGCAGAGCCAGAAGGTTCCCCTAAGAAGCTTCTACCAAGAGCTCTGAAGTGGCTCATAGATGTAGCTGAGAGGTTGTTGCTGAATCCAATTGATTCGGACTGTAAAAACAGAAACTTCCCCGAGTTACCATCCACAGAGATAGGCCAAGACACACAGTCTGTGTCGCCCCATGAGACTAATGCAAGTGAAAAAGCCTCTAAAATTCGCGATGAAGGCGTCATTCCAACAGTTCATGCATTCAATGTCCTTAGAGCCTCTTTCAATGATGCCAACCTAGCAACTGATACATCTGGTTTCTCTGCTCAGGCTATAATTGTTTCTATTCGCGCATTCTCTTCTTCTTACTGGGAGGTGCGTAATAGTGCTTGCTTGGCATACACTGCTTTAGTTCGGCGGATGATAGGATTTCTCAATGTTCACAAACGAGAATCAGCTCGTCGAGCTTTAACTGGACTTGAATTTTTTCACAGGTATGATATCTTTGATTTCAGATTTTAACTTGAATTTTGTTCGGGTTCTTATTTGATGGGGATATTATATCCATTCACAACTTAATGAAGTTTTACTGCCAACAGGTATCCAGCATTGCATCGATTTCTATTGGATGAACTGAAAGTGGCTACTGATTCTCTTGATGATGGCTGCTCTGGAAATGCAGAATCCACTCTAGCAAAAGTTGTGCACCCAAGCTTGTGTCCTGTGTTAATTCTTCTATCCAGGCTTAAGCCCTCTACAATTGTAAGTGAAGCTGGGGACGACCTGGATCCATTTCTCTTCATGCCGTTCATCAGGAAGTGCTCGTCTCAAAGCAATCTACGAATTCGTGTTCTTGCATCGAGAGCATTAACAGGCCTGGTGTCCAATGAGAACTTACCATCAGTGATCCTCAATATAGCATCTGGGTTGCCCATTGATGACAACACAATCATGGCTCCCGAATCAAGCACAGTCGTAGATGTGACTGCGACGACTCAACGATCTTCGTATAATAAGATCCATGGAATCTTGTTGCAGTTGATTTCTCTTTTGGATACAAATTGTAGAAATCTAGCAGATATTTCGAAGAAAAGCCAGATTCTTAATGACTTGGTCGAGTTCCTTGGACGTTGCTCTTGGATGGCTAAGCGTAGACATTGCTCTTGCCCAATTCTTGGTACGTCTTTCTTACGAGTCCTAGGGCACATGCTGAGTATTGTTAGAACATGCCCAAGAAGCAAAAGTTTGTATATCATCCGCAACCTGCTTCTGGATCTCTCTACTGAGTGCTTAGATATGGAAACCTACCACAAACTGTCATATTATGATCCAACATTGGCAGAACTTCGGCAACAAGCAGCTATTTGCTACTTCAATTGTGTGCTTCAACCATTTGATGAAGAAGATTATGCAGCTATTCAGAAGTCACAAAGATCCGAGTCTGATGAAGATGTGCCAGCCACTCTAATAAATTATCCTTTTCCACAACTTCAAGAAAGACTAATCCGCTCGTTACAAGATCCATGCTATGAAGTTCGACTTTCGACGTTGAAATGGCTGTTTAAATTTCTGAAATCAACGGAATATTCTGATGGGTTCAATGACTTGAGTAGTCATGAGATTAAGACTGTTGACCACTGGACTAAAACCAACCTCCAAGCCTTGCTTACAGAGCTTTTGTCATTGGAGAAGAATTACAGATGTCTATACTATATTTTAAAAAATCTTTTCGCTTGGAATATGTCTCAGTTTCAGAAGTTTGGCAATGTGGAATGCACTGAAGAGGTAGTTTATATTGGTAAGATGAACTGTGGTTCTGTCCTGCAGTTTTGGGATAAGTTGATTTCCTTGTATAAGCTTACGAAACATGCGAAAACTCGGGAAACTACCCTTCGCTGCATGGGAACGTGCATAAAACGCTGCGCGGTGCTGTATTCTTCCTCCATCGTTTCTGATGCCATGATGGGAGAGTCTCCAAAAGATAGAACATCAAATAACTTGGAGGAATTCCAGTCCTGTATTATCCTATTCACTGACCTGATAAGCCAACATAGTGCTGCATCAGAGCCAGTAAATATGCGCACGGCCGCTGCAGATTCTATTATAGCCTCAGGTTTGCTAGAAGAAGCTGAAATTTTTGGTGATTATATGTTCGACAACCAAATCCCTCAGGAGACTTCGAACTCCCATTTTGAACAGAGAGATTATGTGAATATGTATGCTCATCAAATCCTTAATATATGGTCTACTTGTATTATGCTTTTGGAGGATGAAGACGATGAGATTCGGAAAAGCCTCGCAGCTGACGTCCAGAAGTGTTTTAGCTCGGAAAGAACTACGACAAGCTCCGATGCTCGGACCCAAGTGGAGCAAGTTATTGGATCAAGTTTTGAGTACCTGTCATCTATATTCGGCCATTGGGTTCGGTACTTCGATTACCTTGCAAACTGGGTCTTGAACACAGCAAATTATGCCGCATCACCAGCCGACCCAGTTAGAAGAGTGTTCGACAAGGAAATCGATAATCATCACGAAGAGAAGTTATTGATCAGTCAAACCTGTTGTTTACACTTGGAGAAGCTTTCAAGATCTAAACTAGTTGCTTTATGGGACACCCAATGGTTTATAAACTATTTGGTTGGGTTGAGAAAGAGATTTTTCCATCAGCTGATAAAATTTTCAGATGAGCATATGAGCAAACATGGTGGATTTGATTGGATAGGTGGTGCAGGCAACCACAAAGATGCATTTCTTCCACTTTATGGAAATTTGCTTGGCTTCTATTCCATTTCAAACTGTATGATAAATGGAAAAACCCAGATTAGTACGCTGCCTCTTGACACCGAGGTCGTCGAAATCGGTAAGATTATTAACCCGTTTCTTAGGAACCCTCTGATATCTAACCTGTATTTGTTAGTGGTAAGAATACACAAAGAAGCCATAGATGTTAATAGAGATCACAAGATCCCAGAACTTGGACATGAGGGAATCTGGGAAGGTTTTGATCCATATTTTCTTCTCAGATAAGTTTGTGGTAGAATACTGTTCTTTTAATGTGTTACCACGGGTGGTAATTGTTTTTGTTGTTCTGTTCTTCATATGGCTAATGAGAACAAGATTGATTACAAAAAGCAGTGGAGGAAACGTTTTGTGTACATGTTTATATACAATAATTGTGATATACAGGGAAGAAATTAGCAAGAACAGGGAAAAAGAAAGAAGGAAGGGTGTACATGGATTTGAGTGTTGAAGAAACTGATTCTATTCAATTTGTTTCTGCACCAAATCAACTGATCTGTTGTTATTCTTGACATTTTAAGAACTCTTCCTACCAACTTCATATCCACTTTACTCAAGAAACACAAATCTCCTCCTTTTTCTTTCTTCTGCAGTTTCTTCAGTATGCAATCTCCACTTCTCATAATTTCCTTCACCTTCTTTTCTTTCTGCAACACCAAAAATCCATTGAATAATGAGAAGAATTTAGTTAAATCTAAGTATAAAAAGAACTAACCTTTTGGAGATCTGTTTGAATCTCGGTTAGAAGTTGCTTATCGGCTGGGTTTTGGAGTTCTGCTTGGAACTTTTTCGAGTGTTTTGTGGTGTTGCTGTGATCTTTATCTGCTCGAATGAACTGCCAAATTACTCTTATTGATTCTTGTAATATCTCTACAAGCATATCACTTGTGATTGCTTCGTAACCGTCCTCTTTTCCTCTTCTTGCCTTCCTTCTATCCCTCGTTTTATCCTCTACCAAAAAAACGAAACCAAATTATATGAACGGAAGCTTGAGAAAGCTTTCGGGTGTGTCTTGTAATTCAAAAAACATGAGATTGTTTACGTAGTTACCTCTAATGACTGAAACTTGAAGAAGATTACGAGCAACGAAACGATTCTTGACGTAATTTTGGAGTCTGGGGCCTTGGAAAGCTTCATTCTCTAAGAATCTTTGCAAGAGAATTTGGAACTGTTGGAAGTCATCAGCAACTTGATTGTAATGGTGAAGTCGTGTATGAGGTTGAGATTCCCACAAATCCAAAGCCTTTTCATATTGCCATCGAATGAACTCCCAAGAGAGACACATTTGGCCAACATATACCATCTCCAATTCACAGTGAACTTCTCTTATGAACTTCTTCATTGGGTCCAGTTGACATTTCTTTTGTCTGTACAGCCTTAGGTTGTGCGGGAGAAGAGACGTGATTGATGATGGCCATGAAGATTTTCTGTCGCTACAAAATGACTTTAGTGGGTCCTTACTCTTATTTTACTTTCATTTAACGAATATAAATCTCTCTCTCTTAAAGCTACGGCATCCCACCGATCCTTGCATCGGCTATGTAGTTGCCTTTGCTATCAAATTAATATATATATATAGATGTGGCGATGAGGAAGAAGGAACTCACCCATTGCATACATCTTCTGGAAATTCAAGATATCCAATTTCCTCATGCGCTCTCTGTAAGCTTTGTAGAATTTGTGAAGCTCCTCCATTAAATCTCCATACTCAGACCTCTCATCTATCTTCCATGCCCTCAATTCTCCCATTACCTTCGGGGACTCTGATTCTTCATAAATGGTGGCCAGCCCTCTGCCTCTCTCTTTCTTCATTTCTATTTTCAGTTCTTCAACCACTTCTTCATGTTCAGACTCCTCTGAATCTTCTCTGTTTTCATTCCCCTCCTCCCCCGACTTCTCCGATTCTTCGTTTATCTCCTCGTCTGGTTCGTACCCGCCGGTTTCGAATTCCAAATCCAAATCGGAGGGAAACCCGCCTCCGACATCGACTCCGGTGTCTGAATCGGAACTCCGAAGAATCTCATTGTCTTCTTCTTCTTCACTCTGTTTCTCTGAAATTTGCTCTCCTCCGTTTACAGAGGTCTCTTTATTTCTCCGTCCCCAACGGCTTCAAATTTCAAAATTTTCCCGGCAAATTCCTCTGTTCCATTGGCAAAGCAATCTGTAACGTCAGATTCCAAAACCTTTCCAGAAACTTCTCGAACAGAAAAATTCCCATTTCCCAAACCCACGTGTTTCGAACAAGAATTCAAAACCTCCACCGTAAAGCTCGGAACTTTAGCTTCTCCCACAAAGTGGCTGGTACTCTTCTCCGGCGAAAACTCGTATCTGTTACTCAGTGAAGATGAACAACCACTGGAATCCAGTTTGTGAGAACCAAAATGTCCTTCATTCGATTTGCTAAATTCCTCAAACGTTTGGAACCTGAAACTAAAAACAAACTCATCCGTTTCCTTCTCTTCTAAACTCTCAGTCACTCCGCCGCCGCCATCGGACTCCTCCTCCAGTGGCCATGAATGATCATCATCAGAAGTTTCCAAGATTTTCTCCCCATGAAAAGACCTAAAAGAATTGGACAACCCCATGATTAAAAAACAGAAAAACAAACATGAAAAAATAAAGAAAAGAAAACCCACCTGAAGAGGAAGGTAAAAAGGGAGAGAAACAGAGGAGAGAAAAAAATAAAAAGAGTGAAAGATTAATAATTATTTGTTTTCAATAATTTTTTTTGCCTTCAAATTAATAGATTAATAATTAATATAATTATGGGTTATTTTTATTTTGACTTTAGTATAATTTTAGGAAAAAAAAACAATTATTTTATTATGATTTTAATTCATATTCATAGACATAGAATCACATATTATAATACAATTTTATTTTTGTTTTGACAACGTTATAAATGAATTTTAAAAAAATGAGGTTTATTATAAGGTGGAAATAAATATTAATAAATGGAATTTATTAGGTATATATTTTAATTTGGTCAAATTTGGTTATAATGACAAATGAAGCTTCAACTGCCACTCCTTCCACTATTCTCCGATCCTATCAAACTAAGTCTAAAAGAAGTGGGAAAGGAAGAATTTTATTGGGTGTCTTTTTGGACGGAAATCGACGGCCATACACGTTCTAAATTTCATGAAAAGTGGGCCCATCACAACATCAACGGACACGATTTCTTAGTTTTTGACCATGGATACTATTCCAAATTATTATTATTATTATTTTAATGAAACAAAGTTACAAAATTCCTTGCTTTCTTTTCATCCAGAGTTTTAATTAACATTTTTTAATTTTTTAAATTATTCCATTACTTACCATTTTTTGTAATAGGCTGATTTTCTATAAATTTTCTAGATTAAGAGCATGTTTATAATTATAAACTTAAATAATGAAAAGGTTTGACGTGGCAAGAGGTGAGCTGATGACTTGGCCCATTAAATTGGGAGTGGGCCTAACCATCTTGGCCCATTAACAATTTTATTTCTTATAATTAAACTTTTAACGTTAAAAAAAAACAAAAAAAAAACTATTATTTGAAAAAATATTCTATTATTTTCTAAAATCAATTATTAAATTTAAAAAATAAACTTAATTGAATCATTAATCTTTTAAAATTTACAATTTTATCTTGAATATATTGGAAATTATAAATTAGATTTTTCTAAATTTTTTTATTAAAATTTTATAACCTAAAGCTTATGATTTATTAATATATTTGAAATTTAGATATATATTAAATAATTTATAATTTTATTTAAAATTTGAAAAGTGGAGGTAAGGATCCAAAATAAATTAAAATTAAAAATAATGTTTTATAAAGGACAAAATTTAATGAATAGGGTGAATTGTAAATGAAATATAATGGTTGGTATTGGATTCCACATGGGCGACACCCAATTTTTGTTGGAACTTACATTAAATACGTCAATTCTTACACGACAAACATACATTTACCAAACTAATTATTGAAAAGTGAGGACAAAAATTAACATTTTAAATTATATTTTTTAATTGTGATTATATTATTGTGATTTTTTTAAAAAAAGAAGAAAGAGATAGGGACCATAAATACTCTAATTTGGTAGCTATGGTGAATGGAAATGAAAATGTGATATGAATAAATATTTGGAGTGAGAAAAAAGGAATTATAAAGTTGAAGGGAGTGAAATAAATGGTGGCTTTTGTAATTAAAAGAAAGCCGATGCCCCACAGGGATTGGTAGGTCACAGTATTTACTTCCTACACATGGAAGATGAACAACGTCACATGGCCCTTCGACTCCAAAGCACCCCTACCACTACATTGTATAGCCACCCATGCCCCACTCCCATGGACCTTTGGAACAGACATGCCCCAATCTCTTTTTGCTCTTGCTCTTCTCTCCAAAAACATAAATAATAATAAGTATCACATTATTGGGTAGAGGTAATCACGACTTGTAACGGTAACACTCTCCTCACTTTGTTTTTCTTGTTTCATCCAAGAGGTCTCGTACCAACCGACACGTTATTTCTATAATAATATGATATTGTTCATTTTGTGTCTAAACTCTTACGACTTAACTTAATATTTGCGATATTTTTAATATTCTATTAGATAGGGACCGGGACCGGGACCGGGACCGAGAGAGAGTGATGGGTATTGGCCTAATAAGTTTTTTTTCTTTTTTGGGGGCAAAGACAACTAATAAGATCTTGATATTTTGACTTTTTTGCCTTCCAATTATGATATCATTTGCTTTTGTTGATGAGATTTCACACACATGATTTTTTTTTCTTCCTGATATTTTTTTTCTTCCTGATATTATTTGTTGTAATAAGTGCGTTTCACTCGTCGTCTATTCTTCAAGCTTCACGTAGTGTATATGAGTACATTTGAAAGAAAATGATCCTAAGGATACGATCACTATACAAGATTAAAGGGAATGGAAATCATTATCTATACCATAAGCATATAACCAGAGATATCGAGGTCACGAAAGCCATAGTTAAAGCACCACAAGAGAATGGAAAAGAGAGAGAGAAAGAAATGATGCAGTGAGGAGGATGACATTGAATGCGACGCGGTTTGGGGAGGCGGAGAGGCGGCATTGGGTTTATAGCCACACCCACAGCCTTGACTTTTTTATGTCTCTCCTCCACCTCTGCTGTGTATAACTTTAATGCTGCCCCTCCTCCCTTTGACTCTTTCTTTTTTCTATCCCTTTCTTCTCTCTGAGCTTAATTTGTCAGCGTCCCCAAAGTTTATCTATTTATACACCCCACCCAACTCCCCATTTCCCCATATTTCTCTGCTTTTTCTACTGACTACAACACAAACACAATCAAAAACATCAAGCCTTCACTTCAAATGGGTCGCCCTCCGTGCTGTGACAAACAAGGTGTCAAGAAGGGCCCTTGGACTCCTGAGGAAGACATTGTTTTGGTGTCTTACATTCAACAACATGGCCCTGCCAATTGGAGGGCTGTTCCTGCCAACACTGGTAACCGAATATCCTTCTTCTTTACCCCCTTTGACCCTTTTCCAATCTTCTTCTTCTTCTTCTTCTTCTAAATCTTGTTGTTGTTCTTCTTCTTCTTCTTCTAGGGCTGCTTAGATGCAGCAAGAGTTGCAGGCTGAGGTGGACCAATTACCTGAGGCCTGGCATCAAGAGGGGTAATTTCACTCCCCATGAAGAGAAAATGATTGTTCATCTTCAAGCCCTTCTTGGCAACAGGTAACCAACCAACTTGAAACAAATTAAAAAACAGAGCCTTTTCTTTTGGGTAAATTTATGATGCATTTATTGTGATCATGGCAGATGGGCGGCCATAGCTTCATACCTTCCACAGAGAACAGACAACGACATTAAAAACCACTGGAACACTCATCTCAAGAAGAATCTCAACAACATCAACCATTACCCATCTCCGACCACCCATCTCTCCGGCGACGCCCTTTTCACCTCTAGAGGCCAGTGGGAGAGACGCCTCCAAACCGACATTCAAATGGCCAAACAAGCCCTCTCCGACGCCATCTCGCCCGAAACCTCCAAACCCCCACCGCCTCCGCCGCCGATGGCAGAGTCCCAAACACCCAATTGCCAAATTCCGACATATGCTTCCAGCGCCGACAACATCGCACGGTGGCTCGAAGAATGGAACAAAAACCCACCGACGAACAGTTCTTGCCGGTCCAGCTCACCGCCGGTGGCGGATTCCGGCGGAGAAAAAATTAGTGGGGCGGGTTCATCGGAATCGATGGATACATTTCTGGGTTTTGATTATTTTGAATCGTCAAATTCGGAGGTGTCGCCGGAGACGAGCGTTTTTCAAGGGGAAAGTGAAATGGATGAAAGTGAGGGATTGTTGGCAATGCAATTGCTCGAGGAATGGCTTCATGGAGATGCTAAAGATTATTACTTCACTGATATAACAGTAGATGAAAAGTTAAAGAAGTATGATAATCTTTTATGAAATTACAAATAAATATGGCCATATATTATACAAAATATTTTGAGTTCATTTTTATTCCAATTTATCTCTTCGAATTTGGAAGAGATGTGTATTTTGTAGTTATTAAAGAGTTCCAAACAATGGTTATTAAATATTTTGAACATGGATGGAAGTAATCAATACTTAGTCAAGGGGGTCTCTTACCCAAAAACTGCTGCACTTAGAAAATGGCCAATATGATCATCCTGCCCAATAACTGGTCTACAACAATAGTCTCTAAATTATTTTCTTTTTGTAACCCCAATCATTAAGCCTCATATTTCTGACATCTTTACCTCTATAATATATACACCAATGTGCATCTTATGCTATAATTATTTCATCTTATTGTGAGCTTTTTGTTACCAACCAAAATAAATTATTGATGGATGGGATTGGAAGCCCTTATTAAGAGTACCATGTGAACTACTTATGCATTTACATTTTAAATATTAAAATGCGAAACATGCTAGTCAACAAATCATGTTCTTCTTATCTTAAAAAAGGAACCAAATGGAAACCAGCTAGCTTAACCCAAGTTAGGATAGCTGAATTAGTTTCACGACAAAATAATTGATGGATTTAAATGACATTATTTGGTTAAATTAATTGAGAAGAAAAGGACGTATCCAATTACTTCAAACCCTGGTTCATCTATTATTATTTTTATAATTATCATCATTATTGTTGTTATTAAGTTATGATGTATAAAATATATATATATATATTCGAACTGGAAACTCTGGACTTGGGTTTGACTTTGGAAGTAAAGAAAAAGTCAACACCGACAAGGTGAAACTCTGGATTTGTGTTTGACTTTGGAAGTACAGAAAAAGTCAACACCGACAAGGTTCTTAATCCTAGTCTACAAGGTTGCGTGGAGACTTGATCCTTTTCAGCTGCCTCTCTCAGTTTCTAGAACACTCTACCACTGGCCTCTCTCATCTTATAACAAGTTTAAGGATTATTTATTTACTTATTTTTAATTTCCTTTTTAGAAGTTAATGAAAGGCGATGGATGATCTTAGAACTGGTCAACTATTTTCTTTTTAATAATGTCCATAAAGTCAAAGAAAGATATTAAAGGATAGATGGTGATTGGTGAA